CAATGTTGTTCCAGGAAGATGGAGCACCATGTCACACTGCTAGAAACACCCAAAAGTGGCAGGAAGAAAATGGTATCCAGAAGTTTCCCTGGACGAGCCAATCTCCTGACATGAACCCCATCGAAACCCTCTGGGCCATACTCGACTGGCAAGTCAAGAAACAAAAAAAAAAACCAACTTCAAAGAGCAATCTACTCCAAGTTTTGAAGCAAGAGTGGGCTAAAATCCCACAATCTAAAATTGACGAGATGATTCTCACGACGCCCCAAAGGATCAACAAACTCCATGAAGCAAAAGGAAGATCTACTAGATATTAATTAAATTATAAATATATCAATTCATGTGAATATGACTGAAAAATTTCATTTTTTCTTGAAAAGGTGGTGTCTATTTACTTGTGACCATGCTGTGTAGTGCAGTGAGTATTATGAAACACAAATATCTGAAATTATGTTTATTAATCCTGTGGAGTAAAGTGCTTTAGTTAATGATGCAAAAAGATGTGGTATTGAATGAGTTCACCTTGGCATTGACTTCTGGCAGATGAAAGATTGGCTAGAAACTATATTTTTACTTTCTTGATTTTTCATCACATTATTTTTGGTAGTTTTGTTTTTTAGATATTGTTGCAAGACTGTGGTTATTTTAATGCACAATTCTGGGTATATATTAGTTACTGTTAATATAACTGTAGGAATATGACTGTAATATTTCATACCTTATTGTAATAGCTTGGTAATCATTTCATATCTTTTTCATTTTCAGTGAAACTCGTTGCAAAATCAAACAGATTAACCTCTTAATAGAATTATTTTATGTACCAGGAGTACCAGCCTACCATGAAGACTTTCAGGATGCAGTTCATCCTCTTGTTCCAGAAGGCCACACATTCAAAGCATTGCCTGTTCATTTTTGTCATAGAAATGCCTGGAAAGTCTTCAAAGAGACCTTGAGGTATTATAACTTTTATTTATATAACAGTAAGAAACTATTCTAAGTTTGTAGATGTGGCACAATTTTCTTTTTTTTTAAATTTGGTTGAAAGTTGAGTGTTATTAATCTTTTAATTGTCTATATAGAAATCGAAACTGATACTTTGGAGTTAAATCTAAATCTAGGCTTATTGAGCTGGTTTCCTAATTAACTAAATAATATTGTATCAAGTGGTATCAACCTTAATGTACATTCTGTAAGTTCTAATTGGACATAATAACCAGGTATTTGAAAGCCTATTTAGAATGTATGAACAATATGTTATTAATTTTTCAGTTATACGTATGTTACTGGAAATAATTATGGATATAAAATGCAAATATTATGGAAGTGCTACCCCTCTATTTTATGAAAATAAACTACAACATAGTACAATCATGTGTTAAAAGTTTACATTGGTATTGTTTGACATCTAAATAATCAGGAGTGCCACACTAGCATACTATTCTAAACAATAGAGTGGTGAATGTACTAATGACTCTTAGCACAAAAGTGCCATATGACAAAGATTTATAAATCAAACATTTTGGCTGGTGAAAAATTACTATATGCAGCATATTAAGTTAAGATATAGTAGTTGTAGAGAAACTCTCAATATTATATGTAAAATTAGTATGTTAGATAATAGAAGTGGTCAAATCAGAAAGCCCATTTCTTCAATAGCAATAAGTAATCATCAGGGTATTCTTTTTGCATGATACACAACAATCCAATAGAGAATTTCCCAGTTACCTAACTGTAAGTACAGGTATATATTATCTCCAGAACAGTAGGAAAAGCATTAGAATGAAGTGGACTAATTGGATGTTCAGCTGCCTAAAAACTACTGCTCAGGAGAGATAATCAAATCAGAAGGCTGAAATGAGCATTAGGCTCCAAAGAATGGGATGATGAGTTTGGAAGAGGATGCACTTTACAGATAAATCGAAATTCAAATAATTTGGCAACAATAATGATAGTTTATCAAAAGCAGAGAGAAGAACAGTATCTTGGTCAATGTACAGCATCTACAGTGAGGCGTGCTCTGGACCAGTACAAGTGTGGACTGGATCTCAGTAAATGGTGTTGGATTCTACACAGAATTAATGACACTCTAACTGTTGACAGGTATGACATATTCTTATCCATTGTGTCATTCCCACAGGAACAAAACCTGTTGGACAAAGATTTATCTTACAGCAAGACTGTGATCCCAAACAAGTAAGAAATGTGGTGAAACAATACCTTGAAGGAAAACAATGCCAATAGAAAACTCTCAACCATACTTTGGCCTCTACAAAGTCTCAATATATAAACCATTAAGGATGTATAAGATTATATGAAAACTGAAAAGGTCAGATGGCAATCAGGAAACTTGGCTGAATTGTAGGGAGTAACATTTCGAACACTGTTTCACAATTATACATGTATAACTTATGGTAGCATAAAAAAAAATGTACTGCTTTATGTATAAAGCAAATACAAAATGCTAGTGCACTACACAACTTAATCACTTTTTTTTTTTTCTGCAATATTGTATGGCACTTACGATAAATTAACCATTTAGCTGCAATTACTCATTATTTGTGACTCCTGTGTGTGTATCACCTATGTCTTTCCATAAATATTTCTAGTACTATCTTTCTTTTTATTTTTCAGATCTGCCTTGGGTGAAGAAATAATTTGTTGTCATGGGGATAAAGTGAGAATGGCTGTAAGAGCACATGTTTATGCATATCCTGAAAACATTCTGTCTGTCTGGATCATGTTTTCCACAAAATACAAATGCATTATATAAAGGTATAGATGATTATGTAATAAACTCTTATTGATGCTCATATACACATTTAGATGTATGATACTGAAAGTGAAGATTGTAATTTTATTTTGTTTTTAAATCAGCATGGGAGTTTCTTTGATACCCTCAGAGGTGGAAAAAGTATTTTATTTTTTTACTTAAGTTGAAGTAAAAGTAACCTAACAAAAATGCACTTAAGTTAAAATAAAGGTACCACTCCTAAATTGTACTTAAGTTAGAGTAAAAAATAAGTTTTAACAATAATTGATTTTCAAAGTTTTTACTTTCTAGTCTGCTTGCTTTTACATTTAACAGTCATTTGCAGGCACTGGTGTACTTGTTCATAAGAATATATCCAGAAGGGACGGAAAAGACTTGAGCATATCCATACTGCTATTAGGCGAATTAGTCAGATATGCACATAGCTCCCTTCTCCCTACACACTGCTGAGGCTTCTTTATCACTGAAGCTCTCAACTGTCTCTTGGGCCTCAGGTGATTTCTTCTCCACCTCAAACATAATGTAATCCAGTCCTGAAAATGAGAAGAAATTAGAAATAATGGTTATAAAAAGCTTAAGAACAGGAAAAAATGAAAATAAATGAAAATAAAACCTTCAATTGTAGCAAGTGATACAAAACAGAGATTAGTGAGAGGAACAGGATGGGCTCAGAAGAGGGTTCTTACATCAGCCTTTAGCATTAAAAAATGTTGATGGTGGAAGAAAGACCATGCAGTAATAATCATTTGTGGTAGCTGATACTGACAAAAACCTCTTAAAGTAATGATTCATAACATAAATAGGAGTAGGACACTGCCTGTATGAGAGATATATACAGTAAAGATCTTCAATTTATAACTGCACAGTTTTACACAATTAGATCTCGTAAGATAGATGCACCATCTCAAGACATAGCTAAGTGGAAAAACAATTTTGTTTTTTAAATTTTATGTGTGTAACAACAGTGTTTGCAGTGCAGCTCATACCATAAGAGCTATTGACACTTGACAGAGGCTGATTGGAAAAACATCAATGAAAGCTAGTAATAAACAAATTTCTCACCTTTTTTAGAGAAGGGAATTTTGGCTGGTCCATTCATTTTTAAGCTTTGGCAGCAAGATGGCTCCAGCAATGAACTGTGGATTCTCCAACATGATGGCAAACTATTACTTCTGTAATCCTGACTTAAGGGCAGCTACTAGGGGACGACACAGCTTTGCAGAATGGTAGACCTTATTGTAGTTGATAGAGTGTAGGAAGCAACCACCCCATATGAATGTTTCAGACTGCAACATGTCCAGTGGCTTCATCATTATGTGATATTTTCCCAGGAATTCCAGCTCTGCAGGACTTAACCTGAAGCAAGTGTTAAATTAATATTTGTGTTAAAATAATATACAGTTGTACCTATCATACTTGTATAAAACTGTTTCTTAGGCCTCTCAGTTCATTTGAAATCAGGATGAGCAAACATTACTATTTAACATCAAGCATTAATATACAGTTGAATTCTATGTATGTGAAACTTTATCATAAGTTTCACAGATCATTTGCCATCAAGATTAGTAAACATTATTTTCTTATGTTAAACCTTTGCTTGTCCTACATTTGACTTTGACTAATAATTGAATGGCAAAATACATGATAAAAATAATGTACATACAATGAAAAAGAGAAAGACCAGTACAGCAATTTCAAAAGCAAGGACTTACATTTTATTCTTGAATGCTGAACATATATTCCTAATAGCATCTTCTCCTTGTTCCTGTTTAATGTAAAAGATCCTCTCAACAGCCAAGAATGTAGAATTCCACTTTGTCTGGTTTGGCCGAATCAGCTTTAGCTTGCATTCTGCTTCAATAATTTCAGTTGCCACTGCTGATCAACAAACATTGTTCCACAGTGCCTGACATTTTCAAAAGGTTAATCTGAACAATTTATGCTATGAATCACTGCCCTCTACATTTGTGACATCCCCTGTACCAATCAGATTCAATAGGTGGCATGCACAGTGGGGATGTGAAGGGAGTTTACATTCAAGACGTGATCCTCCTTGTCTAAAAGAGCAGCTGTGTCTTGAAAACTGATATCCTCTGCTGGATCATCTGAATCTTCTGTCATATCTGGACCTGTTCTTCAATACCTTCATCATCCTAAAACAATCGTTCTACTTTATCATCTCCAAATACCTTGAATGTCTTCACAAAATTTGATCCACTCTGAGTTGTTGTCCTGATAATCTTGTGTTGATTCTGATACTCTGAATGTATATCATTCAAGGTGTTGGCCAAGACATCATAGATATGTGGCCCTCTTCAACTGCCTGAAGGCTAGTGCAGCAGAACACGTCTCAGTATGACTGATATCAATCCAGTGAGCAGTCACACCAATATAACTATCTTCTGAATGTTCAGCAGTCAGTAGTTGTGGCAATTTACTGCACTTTAGTCATTGCATTTATCAAATTATTTCTCATCTCTGTAGTAGCCTCATTAATTCTCTTGCAAACAGCTAGTCTTGACATTAAGCTGTAGTCTGGCTGCATATAATGAATAATTTCATGGAATTCTTGCAACTTCACAATGCTGAATGGATGAAATCCTTTTGTAATAAAGTTGATAACTAACTTATCGAGAATGGGCTTGGACACACTTTTAGAATTAAGCACAGAGAATATTTTGCATTCCTTGTTTGAGGAATCATCTGAAGTCTTGGTTCTGATGACCTTCCTCTTCCAAACTTGTGATTTAAACTCTGAGTACTTCTCGAAATTATGTTGGTGGACACGCTGCAATAAAAAACAGCATATTAGCAGTGAAAATGGGAATTTTCTGTGGATTCTATGCTCAAGCCTATCCCAAGATGGAATTTTTCATTAACATGGCACTTTGTACCTTGCCAGAAACCAAAATTTCTCCACGAAAAAGCTCCTACACCTACACAAGAGTACAATTTGTTTTGTCACTGCTGAATATTAAAGGTTTGTGATGGAGCATGCTCCCATGTAAACAAAAGACAACAGATGTGATCCTGATCAACTTTGCAGTATGCTACATGTTAAAATCAATTTAGATAATTAAAAGCCCCATCTAATATACGGAAAATTAAATAATAAGAAGAACCTTCATAGCCAATACAAATTTTTATAGCAAGTAAGACTGTATTGAGTTCCCCCAATCTTGCATCACTTTTGCTTCGAAGTCCTCTTTTCATGAGCACTAGGTTACACTCTGCAGTTATTATTGAGCTCAGAGAACAAAACCACTGATGTGATGTAAACTAAAAGACTTTAATGAAAGATGGATAAGAAGCTCTCTATCAAGCATGTGATCCATTAACTATAAGTTTCTAAGCTTTTGTTTCAACAATGTATGACCCATTTCACAGGTTGACATTGTTGTCACTCTGAGTACGGCTTTGGTATTAATAGTTAGTGATTGCTTTTTAGTTTTCTCCAACTTTGAGCTAAACAATTTAAATTTTCTTATCATTCTCAATACAAATTTACATAACTGAGTTTTATTAGTTTAGTTATTTTAAACTAAGTTTACAAGTGAAAGAGACTTAGATTATATAAGGTTAAAACAACTCTTGTCACCATGGTAGACTGAGAACTTTTTACTGAGATAACCAAAACCAAAGTAAAATAGCAATAACAACATTTTACAATGAGGTAAAGAGACAACCCTTGTATAATATTACATTAATTTGTTCAAGTTGTTTCTTATTAAACACAAAGCTACACAAAGGGCTATCTGTGCTCTGTCTATCATAGTTATTGAAACCCAGTTTCTAGCGGTATAAGTTCACAGACTACTGAAGTAGGATTATTGCATGTCCTAATCAAACTCTTAAATCTTTTGTTACTAAGACTAGGTCCACAATTATCCTTGGGTGTGATTACTAATTAAAGTAAGTTAGTAAGTAATAAAAGTGCAAACAGTCTACAACCAAAACAATTTTCTATTAACATTTTATTTAAAAACATGAAATTTCATAAAATTATTTTTTCATTATATAATAAAAATTAGTAATAACACGTACTCTATAATAAAGCATATTATAAATATATAATATATGTATATAGTTTTTAGATTTACCTCCACATGTTTGCATAGATTTGATGGTGGTGTAATGTAAGCCGTCACATCAACCATTTTGGGCAAACACTGTAGGCAGACAGAATTTCCTACCATCGTCTTGAACTTGAAGAATTATCTCTAGATATAACCAAGGATGGCCAGCACCCACAGACAGGGCTGATGAGAGGAGGGACAAGGGGGCAGCTGGCCCAGAATCTGTTGGGAGGCCCAGCAGTGGGATATCCCAAAGTTTACTAGAAATGCATACTACTTAATGAGCTAAAATGGCTACTGCTTTTTTTCATGGATTCATGAAGAAATTTGTCACCTAAATTTCTTTTATGAAAAATCAGCAGAAGTTAATAAATAAAATGAAAGGGGGCAGCCTGGGCTCGCTCTCGAAGCCCATGCCCACAGTGTCAAAGGTAGATTCAATTGCCTTCACATCCATCATATTTAACTACCCAAACTAAGTGAACAAGATGCTGGAGTGACGTTAGCTATTAGTTAATAGAACTGAACACGCATCATTGGATACTTTAAATACTCTTACTTTCTGCATCCTCTAATTTGTTCCTTTATCCGTGGGCATTTTATAAATTTTTGTAAATAGTACTTTTGTACTTTACAGATTTTGGCAAAATTGTAGTTAAGTTAAAGTTAAGTTCTTCTAAAATGTACTTAAGTTAGAATAAAAGTACTTTTATAAAAAGTCGATCCTGAAAAATAATACAGAAGTAAAGGTACTTAAGTATAGTAACTTCACTAATTTACACCTCTGGATACCCTGTACCATGCTAAAAAATAAATCAGTTTGTTTTATGTGTAGAATTTAGTGGATTTGCTATCTTATCATGCCAGTTCACATTCTTTATAAAAAGTGATTTATAACTTCCTTGAATGTAATTAGTTTCCTTGCTAAGAAGAGCTAATAATAATACACAAGAAAGAAATATCTATAAAAAATTGAAGTCTACATTACAACTGTGCTGTGCTTATGCAAACAAAATTTTTAAAGTAGAAAAACTTACACGTATGTTGTGGCAGCCCAACTTGAAGAACAAGCCAGTTTTGGATTTTTGAGCTGATGTCACAGATAAATGGTAAACTGCTGTGTAATGTTGTGTTGTTTGGTGTATTAGTGTCAATTTTGTTTGTGAGTTGAGTTTTGAGGTTTTTGTTCTGGTGGTTGTGTGTAAATGTTTCAACAATGGTTATTGTAAATTTGTTGGTACGAACAAAGGAATGCTTTATACAGTTGATTTCTGCATCTAAGTACTCAGTTGAGCAAAGTCTTGTAGCTGTGTGTATAAGATTTTTTTGGTATATTAATTTTTTGTTTGGATTCATGAACGAAATTCCAGAGGATGAAGAGGGCTGTGTAAGTGATTTTTTGGTGAATTGTGTGTCAGATCTGATAATGTCGAGGTTAAGAAATAACAACTGCTTGTTATTTTCATGTTCAATGGTGAATTTAATGTTAGGGTGAATGAAGTTTATGTGTTCCAAATAAGTGTTTCTGTTTGAAGAAATGAAACCGGCAAAAATGTCGTCCACATATCTGTACCAGTATAGGATAAAGTGTGGATTGTATGGCTTGTGCATGTCACAGCACTTAAATCAACTACAATACCCCCTATGTCAGAGAAGATAATTTGGGGTAGGATAAAAGAACATCCCCATGGAAGCCCAATACTTGTAGAAGCAGTGGAAGACCCATCCAGGCCAGCAGATTTGAAGATTAGAAGGTCACTTGTGGCAGGTCATCAAGTAGTACCTATAACAGTGGCCAATTTCTCTAAATGTGAGCAGATACTTAAGGAAGGGGCATTGTTGGGTGTGTGCCAGGAGGTAGAGCCAGTCAGTGTTAAAGCAAGGAATACAACTGTAAAGAAAGGACATACACTTCCAGAATATTTTACTGACCTCTATAAGAAGAGCATAGTCCATTTGTCATCATCACAGGCTCTTCAGGTAAAAGAACGTGTTGCAAATTATGCTGATGTCTTTTCGAAAGGAGATCATGACCTCGGATGCATGAACCTGGTAGAGCACAGAATAAACACAGGCAATCACCGTCCAATAAAGATCCCTCCAAGGAGAATAGCTCCAGCAAAGCGACAAGAGATAGAGAAGGTCATGGGCGGTCTAATTAAGGAAGGGATAGTCGAGAAATCAGATAGTCCCTGGTCAGCTCCCACTGTAATTAGTCCAGAAGAAGGATGGGACCCAACGTTGCTGTGTGGACTTCAGGGCTCTTAACAGCATAACCGAAAAAGACTCATACCCACTGCCCAGAAATGATGATACTCTTGATGCCCTATGTGGAGCCAGGGGGTTTTCAACTCTGGACATAAAGTCAGGTTTCCATCAAGTAAAAATGGCTGAAGCAGATAGACCCAAGACAATATTTAGTTATGGCCAAGGTCTCTGGCAATACCGAGTGATGCCATTCGGGCTCAGTAATGCTCCAGCAGCATTCGAGAGGCTTGATGGGACAAGTATTGGAAGGCCTACAATGGGGGATAGCTCTAGTGTACCTGGACAATGTCATTGTATTTGCAACAACTTTTGACGAGGAAATGTCCCAGCTGGAGGAACTATTCAAGCGTTTGAATGCAGCAAAACTCAAACTCCATCCCAAGAAATGTCATTTG